TTACTATTGTCTCTTTTTTTATGAATTTATCTTTACTTGTAACTTTTGTTCTGTTGTATGGTCGAACCTCTCCTGCGTGAGAGTGTTCCTCTGCTTTGAAAGAGAGAGCCAATAAATTATTATTATTATTGCACTGTAATGCATAGACCCCCAGGCCTAGTAAATTAAGTGCGTACTTGCGTTTGCATAAACTATAAATGTCTCCTACTAAATCTAGGCCTAAAAGCTCATGCATGGGTCAAAATGTAAAGATTTTTTCTTAAGTTGCCACAAAATGTGGGATTGTGTGAATTAGTAACCTATAATATTTGTACATACCCTTTCTGGACTGGACTACACTTTCGGTTCAATGACTGTCAAAAAGACCTCGTTCAAAAATTTCCTTTTGCACTTTTTACCCACACCACATCGCCGAGGTCAATGCTAATACGACCAAACGACTTAAAAATCAGGCGAGGGATGGGAGGTGTGGCTTACTCTAGTGACGTCATGCAAAATTACTGCAAGGACAAGGCTATACGCACAGCGGCTGTGTATATAATGGCCTAACGGATCTTATACGCACAGCGGCTGTGTATATAAGGTACAGAACTAATCTTATATGTACAGCAGCTGTGTATATAATGGACTTCACGGATCTTATACGCACAGTGGCTGTGTATATAATTGGCAGGACGGATCTTGTACGCACAGCGGCTGTGTATATAAAGAACTTGTGTATCTTATACGCACAGTGGCTTATTTTATTGCTTTCTGTTGTTAATTTGTTTGATGCAACATATTTTTAATCTTTAAAAATCCTGCTGTGCATATAACAAAACCACTTTTATTGTATACACAGCCGCTGTACGTATAGTCAGTCCCTTACTGCAAACCCTAGCAGGGTTGCCATTTGACCTTTTTGACGGCCAGATTTCTCAAATCTGGACGTATACAAATTTTCCTGGCCGTAACGTTTTAAAAGTCACGGCCAAATTTTATTTGGCCGAATTTTTGAAAAGTTTACAATTTTTTTTTCAATATAGTGCCTAGGCCTAATATAGGCCTAACGTAGATTTGTTTTGGATATGTTGTTTTTGTTAGCTTAAATTCTATTTGATTCTCATGTACCTTCCGTTTGTACTTGCACTAAACACTTAATCTATGTTCTCCCTTTAGCCGATTTGACGTAAAGTTTATTTAAAAGATAACAGTTACATTTAGTAATTTAAATTGTTCGGATGAAATATATATTTTTTATAAAGTTTATCCTCGTTCAAGCTTTATGAAGACAGTTCAATGCAAGTTTGTACCATATTGTGTGTCTTTGTATATGTTCCATCCTAGTGGATCGGTTCTATCTCTTTTGAATTTCTTTTTAATATTTAATTATTATTGGCCACTTGAGTAGAAATAACGACACTTGAGGCCATTAATAATTCATGAATGATTACATAATAATTTCATAATTATGTGGGTATGAATTTTTATAGTGTTGATATATTAATTTGCATATGCGGGCATATTAATTTTCATATTTCGCTGGTATATTAATTTGCATATGCTGGTATATTAATTTGAATATGCTGGTATATTAATTTGCATATGTTGGTATATTAATCTATATATGGTTGTTTATTAATTTCCATAATGTTGAAATATTAATTTGCATAATGCGGGTGTGTAAATAATAACGATATTGATAAAATTAATATTAATTTCCATAATATTGATATATTAATTTGCATAATGCGGGTGTGTAAATAATAATGAGAATATAGGGTATCACTGAGCCTCCTATCTAAGTAGTTCTGAAAAGAACTGTTTTTGTTGAGAATGTCTCAACGCTAAATAATAATAATAATAATACTGTCTCTTATACACATCTAGATGTGTATAAGAGACAGGAAGCGTTTTGTAAATGAAAATACAAATCTAAATTTCTAACTTATTTTCAGTATGTCTAGTTTAGTTAGGGAGAAAACAAACAATAAGATTCGTTGAATAATAATAATATAAAACTTACATAGGGTGATCTCATCTTGTTTTCACTAATAGTTTATAGTAATGTAAATTCCTATTCCAAAAGGCAATCTTTTTTTCTACACAATTTCCTATAGTAGTGAATTAACGAAAGCGGGATTTTCAAAAAGATTGTTCCAAACACGTTGACCATGGTATGACGAATAATGAAAAACCGATAGATTTGAGGGTACATGACGTATAGTGAAATTAGCCAATGAGAGACGTACACAGACAAGTCCGGGTACATGACGTCTTAGTGAGATTAAACAATGAGCAACGTCTCCATCGAGATAAGGGCCCTGGTGAGTAATGAAAATCGTGATATGTACGGGTCCGTGATATCTGAGTGACGTTTTTTTATTCTTTGTTTAAAGCGGGGGGTATGTTTTAATAACAGTTGTAAAATAATATATTTAAAATAATGGTAGTAATAAAAAATTATAATGATGAAAATTAAAATATTCGTAAATAATTAGGACTATAATAATGATAATAATAAAAATACTTGAATTAACGTATGTTTGTTGATGGTAGTGTAGGCTCTATAAAATAAGGAGATGTAGGAGACTTGATTATCTTTCCATTACAACAAAAAGAAACTATCATAAGTTCGTGTTACTCTACGTCAGGTGCGTTTTTATCTATATTATTTTTGAAAAATGTCTGGAAAAGCCGAATCTACTGCTACTACCAACTCTGAGGTTATTCGAGGAAAAAATATAAACATAGAAACTGAAAGAATTGCACGAGAAATCAATTCAGCGTTTGTAGCATATAAACTAGGCAATAATATGAAATATAGAGGAGATATGAACTGTAATTTTTTCAACTATTGCGAAAAGATGTATAATGCATGCGATGAACATCTTTATAATTTGACAAGAGAAGTATCGCTTGATTCAAATGAGAATATTAAGACGTTT